TTCTCAATTTGGTTTCCGCAAGTGCCGCAGCACGACAGATGTCCTGGTGAACTTGGAGGTCTATATTCGTACTGCTTTTGCTGCGAAGACCTCCGTTGTTGCCGTCCTTTTTGACCTAGAAAAGGCTTACGACACCACTTGGCGTTATCAAATCCTATCTCAACTTCATTCTTTTGGTCTTCGTGGTCATCTCCCTCTCTTTCTCCGCAGCTTCCTCTCTCGTCGTTCCTTTCGGGTGCGCCTTGGTACCGCTCTCTCTCCCTCTTTTCAGCAATACGAAGGTGTGCCCCAGGGTAGTGTTCTGAGCACTACTCTTTTTCTGGTTGCCCTCAATGGTCTTCTTTCCTCTCTTCCTTCTGGTGTCTTCTCCGCTCTCTATGTCGATGATCTTACCCTTTGTTGTCAGGGTGATGATTCGCCTCTCCTTCAACGCCGGCTTCAACTTGCAATTGATGCCGTGTCGTCTTGGGCCACAGGTCATGGCTTCAAGTTCTCTACTTCTAAGACTTGTGCCATGACTTTTACGCGGAAACGGGTTGTTCTTCGTCCCTCTTTGTCACTTTATGGTCATCCCCTTGAATACAAAGATTCCGCGAAGCTTTTGGGGTTATTCCTGGACACTCGTTTGTCTTGGTCTCCCCATATCTCTTACCTCCGTGTTGAGTGCTCTAAGGCCCTTACCCTCCTTCGGGTCTTGTCCCATACTTCTTGGGGGGCAGATAGGCGCACTCTCCTTGCTTTACATTCCTCTCTCGTCCTGTCTAAGCTCGATTATGGTTGCCCTGCTTACTCGTCTGCTTCTCCTTCTACTCTTCGCCGTCTTGATGCTTTGCACCATACTGGGTTGCGCCTCAGTTCTGGTGCCTTTCGTTCGACTCCCGTCCTTAGCTTGTATGTTGACACTGGCTTCCTGTCTCTCCAGGACCGCCGTGATTGCTACTGTCTTCGCTATCTTGCGCGGTCCTTGCAACATCCTTCCTCTCGCCTCTGTCGTGCTTTAACTTTTACCCCTCCTGCGGTTCCTGTTCCTCTTCACCACCTCCCTCTTTCTGTCCGGTTATCTCGCCTACAGGATTCTCTTTCCGTTCGTATTTCTGATGTTTCTCCTCGTGTTGTTCCTTCTTTGCCCCCGTGGAGGGTCCCTCTTCCGCGGTTTTGTACATCCTTGACCCGTATCACTAAAGCTTTTACCCCTCCTACGGTTCTAAAACGCCTTTTCCTCGAGCACTTTTCTTCTCACTCCCGCTCCGTTTCTGTCTTCACCGATGGGTCTAAGTCAGCGGACGGTGTTGGCTACTCTGTTGTTTTTCCTGATCGCACTTATATGTGTCGCTTGCCTCCGGAGACTAGCATCTTTACAGCGGAACTTTATGCTATTCTCTATGCTCTTCGTCTCCTGCTTTCTCGTTGTCAGTCTTCCTTTGTGGTTGTTGTTGACTCTCGTAGTGCCCTCATGGCTCTCGGGTCCTTTAATCCGGTTCATCCAGTAGTTGTCGAGATCCAGCATTGGCTGTTTCTCGTTCACGGTAAATTTAAGTCGGTTGAGTTTTGTTGGGTTCCCAGCCATATTGGTGTGTCTTTAAATGAGCGTGCGGATGCTGCTGCCAAGGACGCTGTCCGCTCTTGTCCCATCTCTCGCAAAGGCATTCCGTATTCCGACTTTTACCCGGTTATCCATTCCTCAGTCCTTACCCGTTGGCAGGCTTCTTGGTTGTCTGTTACTGGTAACAAGCTACGTACTCTTAAATGTTGTGTTTCCTCGTGGCCGTCCTCCTTCCACCGTAACCGGCGGTGGGAAACAGCTCTGGCGAGGTTGCATATTGGCCATACTCGCTTAACCCATGGTCACTTGATGGAGCGCCGCCCTGCTCCTTATTGTCCTAGTTGCATTGTCCCTCTTACGGTCGTGCATGTCCTTCTTGAATGTCCTGACTTCCAGGACGAGCGTGTGTCTTGCTTTCCGACCGCCCCTCGCGGTCACCTGTCCCTCGATAGAATTCTTGGTGACTCGGATACTTTTGATATCGTTCGCCTTATGCGTTTTTGTTCTCGTATTGGCATCCTTGGTGATATTTAGCGCCCTCTGATTATTTTGCGTATTTGATGGTGCTACATAGCCTTCCCGGTTTGGTGCCTTCTTTTGATAATTACTTACTTACTTACTTTTCCTCCTTGGTAATGTATGTCCTCTTAGGCATTCTTTTCCAAAACAGTCCTGTTTCGTCACAATTAAACACTTGTTGCAGTAGGTATCCCTCAGCCTCTGCAAACTCTTTAAATTCGTCAATAAATCGTCCAGCGGCTGGTTTGTCTGAGCTGGCTGCCTCCCCATGCCTTGTAACACTATGGATACCACTTCTCCTTCTAAATTTTTCAAACCAGCCCCTGCTTGCCTTAAACTCTTTCGTATCTGCATCACTCGTTGCAGGGGTCTTCTTTAGAAGGTCTTCGTGCAACACCCTGGCTTTCTCACAAATAATGGCCTCCGAAACACTGTCACCCCTTAACTCCTTGTCGTGTATCCAAATTAATAACAACTTTTCCACTTCTTCAAGTATTTGTGGTCTTTGTTTCGTTATTGTTCTTACTCCTTTTGCCACTTTAGCACCCATAATCTCATTTTTCTTCTTAAGTATAGTGCATATTGTTGATATGGCTTTGTTGTACTGCCTACAAAGTTCAACAACACGTGTACCGTTCTCATGCTTCCGAATGATCTCTTGTTTCTCCTCTATTGTTATCCTCACATTGGCTTTCTGGCCTTTATCCTTACCACTGGCTTTCTTGGGACCCATGGTGAGATATATAATAACAAATTGTATAGACAAATCACCAAAAATCCAACAAAACACTCAAAATCCGGGTGAAGAATTGATGTGGGGTAGTCACTGGGCGCGAGACAATGGTAAACTGAGAAGCGGAGGGGCAGAGGGGCGACGATCGCCGAACCACCATGCGCTAGGTCGCCCTGTACGCGTATCAACAAACTCGCGTCCCGAGGTAACCCTCGCCTTCCGAGACATATTTTCCGAGGAAATCCTGCTCATATTCCGAAAAACTCGCATTCAGGGACACTCGCATTCCGAGGTACCACTGTATAATATACTACAGTACGTATTTACTGTACCAACCTGTCCTCTTAACCCTTAAAGTGCGCATCACTTCATATGAAGTGTAAATCGTTTTACCAGTCAACTGCGCTTCATTTCATATGAAGTGTATGGGTACCGCGCACGATTTGAATGGCCCGCGGTGTAGCTGGGGGTCCCATACGCTGCCCAGGGGCTCTAGTAAACAGCGGCCATTTTGAAAAAAAATCCAGCTCACGCTCCGATGGCATGGGAGGCCTCAGTTTAGCGAGAGTCACCATGGCGAGCGCACGGTCAAACGCCTCACGAGCACGCATCACTCAGTCCCTCACCCCAGAGCAAATAGCCCACGAATTATTCTCTGAAGGTGAAGAAAGTGTGTTTGACGATTCAGACAACGATGAGGATTATACACAGTTGTCGGGAGATAGTAGCAGCAGCAGTGAAAGTGAAAATGACCGCCATGCCATGGCGAGGCCTATACGCTCTCCCATGCCTCCTCGCCCATTTTCTACTCCAATTCTACCACGACCTCACAGTTCCTGTGGATATTTTCTGTTTGAGGGTGACGAGTTAGAGGGAGGTGACTCCTTTTCTGGGTTTAGTGACTCAGATCAAAGTTTTATTGAGCCTGTGGCTGGTACCAGTGGTGTAACTGGGCGAGAAATTGTCGCGTCAGCAGCATCTCGCCCAGCCAAGCGCCATCGCATGGCACCAAATGCACCCACCTCACGTGCACCCACCTCACGTGCACGTAGCCGCCGTGCTTCTCGCAGACGGTATTCAGCTCCTGGTCGCCGGTATGCATCGCTTCCTCGCCGTCTTTCCTCTGCATCTCGCAGGACGCCTGGTGTACTTGAGTGGAGTGATGGTGACGATTTTATTCCTAATATTCCTCACTTTGACGATAAAGATGTAGGGATTACAAACCTTTTCCCTAATCAAGGTGAGGACATGGCTGAGATGGAATATTTTACAGCATTCTATGATGAACCACTCATGGAATACATTGTACACCAAACGAACCTGCATGCTGCTTACCTGATTGAGAGGGAAATCACAGAATTTTCACGACTGCAGCGTTGGAAAAATACCATAAAAAAAACGTCGCTTTTGGCCGTTTGCCCGTATGGCTGAATATGGACGTAATTTGAAAATGAAAAAAAATGAAAATAAATTTGGGATTTTTTTTTCAACAACAGTAAGTTAAGGGTCCTCTGATAGGTTAGGTGGGCGGGAAATCCTCATAAAGTTTCAAAACGTTATGAAAAACGTTAATGAAAAGTTTCCTTTTCTAAGCTTGCCGAGTAAGCCGGACGACTCAAACAGAAAACGGAACAGTACGTCGCTTTTGTGAGTCGATTTCATTTCAAATTACGTACAAATTTGGCCATAGCGCGCATACCAGCCAAAAGTGACGTTATTTTTAAGAGGACGGGTTGAGTGTACAGCATTCACAACTCCATGAGACTTCAAGATGGACATAACTCCAACAATAAGGTAAATAACAAATGTAACACAGTATTTTTTAGTAGGGTAATAATATATAGGTACTGTATATAATATGATAATACATTTTTATTGTGTACAAGAAAAAAAAAGACACTGATGCAAACGCCCCCTGAAGGTCACCTCTTGCAACGAATCCAACGCTCCAACGCACTGGGGTTGGTCCCATATAGTATGTTGAATCGAGGTTGTACTGTACTTGATTTTCGGCGCACAAGGAGAATTTCACAATAAATGTGACGCATCACAGAGATTAAACATTGTTTATGTATTGAAAAAGAATGTTCTTAGTACTGTATTCCTGATTGATTATGAGGTTCTAACAGCACATTAGAAACATCCATTACATCTCAAATGAGTTTGAACTTATTCCTTTTTATTAGTTAGTTCTTTCATTTACAGATTCATCTCTGCACCGGATGTACAAATGCAGTGCCAGCACACAGTGCCACATACAGTTCTCGTGTTGCAGAACTACCGTACGTGTTGGGTAACAAAAACATGTCAGAAGATACTTTGGTGTTACATCAAGCAGTGTGAAGCTCCTCTCAAGAGTCCGAGCGTATTTCACTCATCAGATCCTAATTCATTAATGTGCTACATTGGCACCGCCGAAGTAAATATTGACCAGTTCATCAGAAGTACTTTATAGCCCTGGTTACTAGTGTAGTTAAGTTTTATCTTGTAGAACATGCAATGTTTCTCACTGGAAACAAACCATTGTCTATCTCTAGATTTTTCAAATAAATTTGATTTTGTAATACAAGTGAGAGCTCGTTCAGAAGACTTTTGTGGTTATTTAATCCTTGAATGTCTAGAAGGGGCCATTTAACATTAAGGCAAATTTGCTCCAGAAACAGGAAGGCTCTTAGTTGTAAACAATATTCAGTATATGACATGTTACAGATATCTATTGAGCACATGATTTCATTGTAGAGAGAAGAAAATCTTGGTACTCAGTGTGAGAAATTTTGGAATGAAATCAAATTTATAAAGATGTATCTTCTACTAAATTATTTTTAATTTTAACATAGTATTTTAACATATTTAGTAAATATACATGTATCATACGGATACTGTACTTATTTGGTAGTGCATGTTTCTGGGGCCTTGTTCTATCCCATTGTATAACCTCAAAATATTTTCATAGATTCATCAGGGTATTGTGATTTGTGCATGCTCTATTAAGTTCAGTAAGCAGGTAACATCAGCCAAACAGCTGTTGTGTAATACCCATTTCATACATCTAAGAAGAAATATGAGTGTTCACTCAGAAGGAAAACTATATCAATGTTCAATGTGTCTGAAAGACTTCAAACATAAATCTTCTCTAGTATCACATACGAAAATTCATTCTGGACTGAAACCTCATCGATGCTCAGTGTGTCAAAAGGACTTTACACGAAAAAATAATTTAGTAAGGCACTCGAGAGTTCATGCAGAAGAGAAGCCTTTTCAGTGTTCCAAGTGTCTAAAAGACTTTAAACATAAATCTGTTCTAGATTCACATATGAAAATTCATTTAGGAAAGAAACCACATCAGTGTTCAGTATGTGAAAGGTGTTTTTTGCATAAGCATAATCTCGTTACACATTCAAGAATTCATACTGGAGAGAGGCCTTATGAGTGTTCATTGTGTAAGAAAAACTTTTCAAATAAAAGTAATCTAAAAATACACATGAGAATTCATACTGGAGAGAGACCTTATCAATGTTCAGTATGTCTAAAAGATTTTTCAGATCGTTCTACCTTGACTAAACATATAGTAATACACACAGGGAAGAAACGTTACCATTGTTCAAAGTGTCCAAGAAGCTTTTCATTTAAATGTAATCTAGTAGTGCATATGAGATCTCACACAATAGAGAAACCATCTCAGTGTTCAGAGTATCCAACTGGCCTCTCGGAGAAATCTATTGTTGCTAACCATAAGGAAGTTTCTGCACGTCAAAAACCTTTTCAGTGTCAAGAATGCTTAAAAGCTTTTTCACAAAAAGGACATTTAGTATTACATGGTAGAACTCATACAGGAGAGAAACCATTTAAATGTGCAGAGTGTCTAAGAAGTTTTTCATATAAAAACAACCTAGCAACACATATGCGGATTCATACAGGAGAAAGACCTTATCAGTGTTCACAGTGTCCAAAAAACTTTGCAGATCTAACTTCTCTAATAAGGCATAAGAGAGTTCATACAGGAAATAAATCTTGTCAGTCTAATGGATGTCCAAATGGTCTTTTAACAACTACTCAATAGATGTGGAAATAAATAAATTTATGCTAAAGCCTCAAAACAAATAAAAAATTGTCTTCCCAGTGATTGTAGTGTGTTTACAGTGTAAGAAAGGTTGTTTTGTGAGCTGTCACCACAACCCTCCACCCTCAATTTTGACCTTCCTTATATTCTAATTTGTTAAATTCTATTCAAAATCACTTAGTCATTTAAAGATTAAATTTAATAGAATGATACTATGTTATTGAAATTTAATAACCCATCATCCAAAAATTTCTATTTATAGCAACTGTGTGGAGTATACAAAAATGGACTGTTCTACTCAAAAAGTTGAAGTTTTGTACTATTGACACAAGAGACCAGAAGGCATGGCAGGATGTGCAGAATATCCCCGTTGAAAAGCAGAGGTGCAACAGGTACTCTGAGAGAGAACTCTTATCAACATCAGAGGCCCGAGACTGTTCAACACGCTTCCATTACACATGAGGGGCATAACTGGCCGACCCCTCACAGTGTTCAAGAGAGAACTGGATAAGAACCTCCAAAGGATACCAGATCAACCAGGCTGTGATTCATACGTCAGGCTGCGAGCAGCCGCGTCCAACAGCCTGGTTGACCAATCCAGCAATCAGGAGGCCTGGTCGACGACCATGCCGCGGGGATGCTAAGCCCCGGAAGCACCTCAAGGTAACCTCAAGGTATTGGAATACTGTACTGTGTTGGATATATACAGGAGCTGGGTGGATATAAATAAGAGCTGCCTCGTATGAGCCAATAGGCCTTCTGCAGTTACCTTCATTCTTATGTTTTTATATAGGCCTGCAGGCTGCTCCATGCAACAACCTGTTGGACAAAGCTCTCATAAGTCAAGCCTTATTATATTGGGGATTATAAGAACTCCCCCCAGGTACAATCCTGGAGTACGGACATGAATAATTGGAACAATAACTATATGAACCTAACTTAACCTAGGATTAAATAATAAACTCTTATTCCAAATTTATACTGTCTCAAGCCTTACTGTATATACATGTGCTATACTAAGCTTAGGTAAGTTTGTATTTGGTTGTCGCTTTCTTTCACTGGCCCTCTACAAAATGTATAGTACAAACCAGTCATTTTGTGCAAAAATTCACATGAGGTGAGGGCGAGTGATTTGTGCATGTAGGAGTGTGCGTGTGTGTGCAGTGTGTGGTTGTTGCGTGAGTGTGTGATTTGTACTTGTGAAGGGGTGGATGGTAAGTGTGTGTGGCAGGAGGTGGTTATCTTCTTGCGGTTATCTTGAGATGATTTTGAGGCTTAGCATCCCCGTGGCCCAGTCCTCAACCAGGCCTCATTTTTGTTACACACATCCCCAGGAAACAGCCCATAGCATCGGGGTGAAAGAAACTCTGCCCATTTGTTTCCGCCTCCACCGGGGATCGAACCCAGAACCTTAGGACTGCGAATCTAAAGTTCTGTCCACTAAGCTGTCAGGCCCCTGGATGGTGGTGGTGGTTGTTGTTGTGGTAAATTCAACTACCCGGAACATTAGTTCCAAGTTGCACAGGCTATGGTAAGCCCGTAATGGACTTTGGGTGGATGGTTGGTGTGCGTGTGGGTGTATATGGGAGTGTGTGAGAGGGTGAATGGTTGGTGTGTGTGTAATTACTGTACCTAAGTGTAGTTACAGGATGACAGCTACGCTTGTACTCACCTAGTTGTGTTTGCGGGGGTTGAGCTCTGGCTCTTTGGTCCCGCCTCTCAACCGTCAATCAACAGGTGTACAGATTCCTGAGCCTATCGGGCTCTGTCATATCTACACTTGAAACTGTGTATGGAGTCAGCCTCCACCACATCATCCCCTAATGCATTCCATTTGTCAACCACTCTGACACTAAAAAAGTTCTTTCTAATATCTCTGTTGCTCATTTGGGCACTCAGTTTCCACCTGTGTCCCCTTGTGCGTGTTCCCCTTGTGTTAAATAGACTGTCTTTATCTACCCTATCAATCCCCTTCAGAATCTTGAATGTGGTGATCATGTCCCCCCTAACTCTTCTGTCTTCCAGCGAAGTGAGGTTTAATTCCCGTAGTCTCTCCTCGTAGCTCATACCTCTCAGCTCGGGTACTAGTCTGGTGGCAAACCTTTGAACCTTTTCCAGTTTAGTCTTATCCTTGACTAGATATGGACTCCATGCTGGGGCTGCATACTCCAGGATTGGCCTGACATATGTGGTATACAAAGTTCTGAATGATTCTTTACACAAGTTTCTGAATGCCGTTCGTATGTTGGCCAGCCTGGCATATGCCGCTGATGTTATCCGCTTGATATGTGCTGCAGGAGACAGGTTTGGCGTGATATCAACCCCCAGGTCTTTTTCCTTCTCTGACTCCTGAAGAATTTCCTCTCCCAGATGATACCTTGTATCTGGCCTCCTGCTCCCTACACCTATCTTCATTACATTACATTTGGTTGGGTTAAACTCTAACAACCATTTGTTCGACCATTCCTTCAGCTTGTCTAGGTCTTCTTGAAGCCTCAAACAGTCCTCTTCTGTTTTAATCCTTCTCATAATTTTAGCATCGTCCGCAAACATTGAGAGAAATGAATCGATACCCTCCGGGAGATCATTTACATATATCAGAAACAAGATAGGACCGAGTACAGAGCCCTGTGGGACTCCACTGGTGACTTCACGCCAACCGGAGGTCTCACCCCTCACCGTAACTCTCTGCTTCCTATTGCTTAGATACTCCCTTATCCACTGGAGCACCTTACCAGCTACACCTGCCTGTCTCTCCAGCTTATGTACCAGCTTGTGGTGTCCTGTCTTCCCAGTACTCTGTCAAATTTGTCGTATTCACCTATTTATGTGCTTTTGAGATTTGGGCACCATACAACTGCTGCATATTCCAATTTTGGTCTCACAGAAGTCAGGAACAGTTTCTTTAGTATTTTGCCATCCTTATAATTAAAAGCAAGTCTGAAGTTGGAAAGCGACACATATGCTCCTCTCACAGTGTTCTTTGTGTTCCTCCGGCTTACTATCCAAAACCACCTTTGCTGGTGCCTGACAGCTGAGTGGACAGCGCTCTGGATTAAGGTTCTAAGGTTCTGGGTTTGATCGCCGGCGGAGGCAGAAACAAATCGGCAGAATTTCTTTCACCTTGATGCCCCCCATTCACCTAGCAGTAAATAGGTACCTGGGAGTTACAGCTGCTATGAGCTGCTTCCTGGGAATATGTAACTAAAAGGAAGCCTGGTCGAGGACCGGGCCATGGGGGGAGTGCTAAAAGGAAGCCTGGTCGAGGACTGGGCCATGGGGGGAGTGCTAAAAGGAAGCCTGGTCGAGGACCGGGCCATGGGGGGAGTGCTAAAAGGAAGCCTGGTCGAGGACCGGGCCATGGGGGGAGTGCTAAGCCCCAAAATCCTCTCAAGAGGATAACCCCTAGGTGTCGTTCTTTATTAGAGTTCTGTAATTCCTTTCCACATAATTTGTAAGCTGTGTGGTCTATTTTCTCTGATTCCACATTCCATAACATGGCGTTTATTCACATTGAATTCCAACTGCCACTTGTCGTTCCAAGCACTTATTTTATCTAGATCAATTTGAAGGGCTCTACAATCATCTGCATTGCCTTTTTTCCCCAGTATCTTAGCATCATCTGCAAACATGTTCATATAATTGTGTATTCCTTCTGGTAGATCATTTATGTAGACAATGAACATTTCTGGTGCAAGAAGTGAACCCTGTAGTACTCCACCAGTAACACTCCTCCAGTCAGATACATTACCTCTGATTACTGCCCTCATCTGTCTGTCAGAAAATTTTTCATCCATGTCAGAAGTTTCTCTATCACCCCTCCAGCATGTTCCAGTTTCCAGAACAGTCTCTTGTGTCGGTCTCGACCAAAAGCCTTTCCTGTGGGGAAGCCCTGTTGTCTCCCTGAATCTATCAACTGATATAGTGCTATATTGGTTTGGGGTCCACAGTCACAGGAGTCCTTATGCCTACCAGTGGGACCACAAGCTAAAACCTAGCCCCCCTCAAAGAGGTGCAGGGAGCAAGGCCTATGAGTACTTTACATTTAAAGTACAGTGGCTCCTTGGTTTACGAATTTAATTCCTTTCAAGAGACGGTTCGTACACCGTAAATTGGTAAACCGAAACTAACTTTCCCCATAAGAAATAATGTAAATTGAGTTAATCCATTCCACGCACCCAAAAATATTAACTTAAAAATTACATTTTATTCAGAATACAGTACTCATATTTTTGTTACTATACAGGTACCTAACCTTTATTGAGGACTCTTGTTTGCATATGGAAGACAGTGAGGAGAGGGGGAAGGAGGAGAGGTTTTAGTGTTTGGAAGGGGAGTCCCCTTCCATTATAACAGCAGTGATGACATTTCTGAGGTGCGCACTCACGTTTTGCAGGCATACCACTAGGACCTGGTTGTGGCTCAATGCTTCTTTCTTGTCTTGCTAAGAATCTGTCTAAAGACACTTGTTTTCTCTATATTTTAACACGTGTGTAGTGAGACATCACATTGTCATTAAAAAGGTTAATGCAACAGCCTGTACAGCTGTATCTGGGTGAGTTTTTTCAGCAAAACTTTGCAGTTCTTCCCATACTTCACACATTTTCTTAATGAGGAAGGGACATCATCTACTACTTGACTCACAACTAATTTTCTTAGGTTGAACTTTACCACTGACTTTCTTGGGACCCATGGCATGACATATAATAAGAACTTTTATGTTCAGAAACCAAAAAAAGCAGAAAAACAATGAAATTCTTAACAAAGAATTCTAGCGCGATCGTCACTAGGTGGGATACACTGTTAAACTGAGCTTGCCTCGCCCCGCGCCCAACAATACCCACGCACTCGTCGACCCATTCATGTATCAACAAACTAGTAATCTAAGGCAAACCTCGTACACTGAGTCAAATTTCATAAGGAAATTGACTTCGTATACCGAAAAATTTGTGAAGAGGGGCAATTATAAACTGAGGTTCCAATGTATGTCATAATTTCCAATGACCTGGGAAGGTACCCAGAAAGATAGGCAAATGAAACAGACCACAATCTGGTGAAAATTGCAACTTATGTCCAAAATGAGCAAAAGAATTCCCCCAGAAAGAAAAACAAGCAACACTTCATCTAACTAGCACTCCCACTCATTAGCACAAACCCCCCCTCCCCTCCCCTCCTAAAGGGGTGAGGGGGGGTGGGGGGCTGGCTCAAGCGA